TATGTATGCACTTTCAGTTGCTTGCTTAATTTATAATGTACTCTGAGAAAAAATAAAATATATACATAATTCTGTAAAACATACCAATCAGTTAATTCTACTCATTCTATGCACCAACATCAGACCTGAAATTTCATACAGGTTTGAATAGTCCAGGTCAACTTATTTTCGAAGTTAGGATATACTAATAAATGACAAGAAAACCCCACTGATTTTCAGTAAGAAAGGTTCATTTTTCATTTATAACACAAGACAACTACAGTAAGCTCTAACTTTGTTCCATGTCTTCATTCAGGACAAGGGCTATAGGAGCAGAATGTTTTTTCTAGAATGCGTTCTTCTCGTGGCAAAGGAGGATTAGAACCACATAAAGGTTCTCGATGCACGTTCTTAAGACCTGTGCGTGGAGCTTCTGCATGTATATCATTGACTAGCAAACATCTAATGGCCTAAGCAGATACAAATGAGATAAGGAAATATAAGGGTCGTAGAGAAAGAGCTGGGAATAACTAGAGCAATGCTACATGCTACCATATCAAGTAACTACGCTATACCACATTTTATATCATATATATATATATATATGTATATATATATAAAAAATAGTATAACTTACAAAATGTAAAGAACATGTGTATAGCAATGCAAAGATGATTTCAATGCCAAAGGACTTGAGCATGACAAGAATTATGAAGCCATCACATCAGCACAAAAAAGAAGCCAAGATACTTATACTTCTCTATCAATCAGGGGAGAAGTTAGAGAAGGCCAGAATAAATGAAAATCTATAAACATTTAATATAAAATTAAACTAAACATAAAACACAAATTCAGCATACTACAATTTGGAATACAATACTGGCTTCCAGATTATTTTCCTGACTCTACCCACTCATCCAGTTAACTTATCCAAGAAGCACATAGCTGCCATAATCTGTGGGTTTTATTAGACATCTCCTTTTTTTGTTCCTGTTCCAAAGCTTATTTTTTTTACTGTGAGCTCTTTATTTTTTGTTCCTAATGAAACATTCAGTCAAAATTCCTCTGAGTATAAATTAACAAATTTCTTCATTTTTAATAGAATGGTTTATTAAAATACATACTGAAAAATACTAACTTTTAAATTGAGTTACTTTGCCCATCTTTTCAATTTTTATTTATTGAGTTTATTGGTACAATCTAGGTATACAATACAGTTATATTCATTATTGGGATCCTGTACCTTTACATAATAGGTCTTGATTCTCATTTTTTCCCCTTGTCCCTCCCCTCCCTTCACCCCCTCTTCGCGCCTCCCCATTTACAAACACTTTATTTCCATTTTTTCAATTTCTCATATTTTTTCCTCTCCCTTATTACCTTTCCCCCACCCTTCCCACTTTCTCTACACCTTTAGCCCTTTACTTCCTATTTCACATCATTAATTATTTCATTAGTATCCTGTGTACTATTATAGAGTTTCACACCAGAGAAACTATTCGGTATTTCAGTTAAAGAAATCTCTGTATGAACATTAAAAATAGGGAATCCTAAAATAAAACAAAAAAGGAAAGTAAAAGAGAAAAGGCAATGATGTAAGATTAAAATAATCCTTAATTCTGAAGATGAAAATGGTCCCTAAACATATTCAAATTCCTTCTTGCTCTTGTAGTATTATCTTATTCTTTCTTTTCATTATTAAGAGAATACTTTATTAATTTCTGTATTCAAACCCATGTAGATATGACCTTACATATTTAATACAGTGTGTTACCCCTGTATAACCACCCCCCCTGCACTCTCAGACCACCTGATTGTGCCAGTCTTTGGACCCACTCTGCAGAGGCAGAGGTGGTCATAAGGGTATTTTTTCTGAGTTCCCAACTTTGAACATCTTTAAAGAAAGGGCGTGGGAAACCTATAGTAGAACGGTGTGGAGATCAACCATTTAGAAGGTTGGGGAACTCAATCTGGGCCTTGAAGCCAGAGATCAGACTGTGTCACATCAGCTGATGTGTCATCAGCTGAGATCAGGGGTCTTGAGTCCTAGCTCTGTCCAAGCCATTAAATGGTTATATACTATATTGAAAAGTTTGTTCACTGCAGAAATGTTCTGGAGTGCTTTTTGATTTATTTAATTCAAATGGTTTAAGGGTGATAGTCTAGTGGCTACCACAGGTGGTCAGTGTCCAAGTTGTGCTTGATCATAACGTGTTGCTGATTGTATCAGTTGGGATAAAGGATTGTGGTTGATTTGATGAGCTCTTTTCTCTGATGTTATGAAGTTGAGAATGTCTGTGGGTTGTTAGAGACCCAGAATATAGGGAGCAACTATATCAGGAAAATTTGGGTGATAACCCAGAGATTAAACCAAGGACAGCCCGACAACAAAAATAAAAATGAGAAAACACTTAAGCAAGACACAAGGACAGACTTCCAGTTCACCAATGGCAAACAGGAGGGCAAATGAGGACGAAAAGGCCGATAGTGAACCACCAGGACACCCTGAACTCAAAGCACAGGAAGTAACAAAACAGATCAATCAGGCTCTAGAAAAATTCAAAGCAGAAATAATTTCCCAGATAACTATAGAGATGGTGAGCAAAATTAAAGTCGTGATCTGAGACTCTAGAGCAGAAACTGACAAAAAAATAGATGAGCTCAGGACCATGATAGAAGCTATGAAGGCCCAGCATAAGAAAGAAATGGAAAAAATAAACGCCCAACATAGGAAAGAAATGGAATCCATAAAACAGATTCAAACAGATATCCAGGAGATGAAACACTCCATTGAAAGTGTAGGCAACAGAATAAAAGAATGTGAGGATAGACTTTCAGATATAGAAGATAAGATTGCAGTCAGTGACCGTGAAAAGAGAGGTCTCTTAAAAACAGTAGGGGATCATGAGATATCAATCCAACAACTCCTAGACAATGCAAAGAAGAATAACATAAGACTGATAGGAATCCATGAAGTAGCAGGAGAAAATACAAATGACTTTAAAAAGCTGTTCACAGAATTAATGACAGAAAACTTCCCAAACAGAGGGGAAGAATTTGACATTCAGATAAGTGAGGCATATAGGACCCCAACTAGCCACAATCCAAAAAATTTACACCTAGACATATAATAATCAAGATCCCAGAAACCCAACAGAAGATCAATTTTTCTAATAGGAGTACCAATTGCTACATCTGTGTTCTCTGCTCCCAGCTTTCTGTGCCTATCGTGACTTATAGTCACTTTGCTAAGAAAATAAACTTATTTGAAATTATGTTCCTCATTGGGTCTCAAAGCTAATCTGTGTTATTCCTTATGCTACATTTCCATGCATGCTAAACCCCTATCTATTCTGTTCTTTCACCCCAGTGATGTTTCTGTCAATCCATCTGTCACCCAATGGCATGAAATCTCCGTCCGCTCATGTAATAGCAGTAAGTCATACTCTAAGATTGTGTGTTGCAAGGATAACCATATTTCTTCCAGATTACTAGCACTGCACAACCCCAAAACCTCCTTACACAGGATATATCTCTATTTGAGTTCTTTTCTTGAATACAAAATATTTTACTTAATATCTTTATTCTTGTCACTGCCTACAGAGTCTATAGAAACTGAATCCAGAAACCTGACTTTCTAAAACCTTATCTTTCTCGCGAAGAAAATATGGTTTTATTTATCATTACCATGTCATCTGATTATTTTTCATAGCAGCTAATGATACTGATCAATATTTTGTTAATAAATATCCTGTTTTTAGAGTTGATGATATATTTATACCATTGATCGACAATTTTATAGGTATATGCATATTTCCAAGTTCATCATATACATTAAATTATGTACTGCTTTTCATAAAAGAAAAATTCTATGCTAACAACTGTTCTCTAGTCACATATTCAGTGTGACTTACACACACTTCTATTATATCAATTGAAAACTATTTTGTCATTTTTTTCATTTATCAATTCAATTTCTCAGATATGCTAAGACAATTTATAGTCACTAAAAGAAGTTTAATACTTATCTTAAATAATTCATCTTGACCCTTGAGAATATTTGGTCCTTCCAAAGATTGTGACTAATGTGTTAAATTTATGAAAGCTCACCTAACTTTATCCTTCAAACATGACTTCTGACAAAATAGGGCATCAGTAAGAAAACCTCTTCCCCACTTTTGTCTTACTCTGCTCACTTCAGAAAGACAGTTTAAGCCCAGAGCTGAGGACTCAAGTGTCATTTGATGGTTATGCTCAGCACAATCACCACTTTGTACTAGCTACTCAGTTTCTGTTTTTTTTTGGCGGGTGGGTACCGGGGATTGAACTCGAGTCCTTGTGCTTGCAAGGTAGGCCACCAAACCGCTGAGCTAAATCCCTGGCCCCTAGCTACTCAGTTTCAAACAACCCTTCTAAATTTACTTTCTTATCTGCTTATTTCTGCTTTGAAGCATAACACATACATATGAAGTTCAATTTTTAATCTGTCTGTATACATCTAACCTGAATGGACACTGAGAAACACTCCAGGCCAATCAGTGTACCACTCCTATATGGCTTGACAATTTGCTTCCAAACTAGACCTGTCTGTTTAGAGTCTCAACTCTTACCCACCAGTGTGGTGTAAGGTCTTCAATTTTGTGTAAGTAATTCCAGGATCAGAGCTTCGTCAACTTGTCTAGTTTAATTCTTTATTCTACATCCTTGTGCTGTCTCCTGTCCTATCTGTAATAGGACCAGCCACACTGCTCATAAGACCATCTACATTGGTTATCAGACCATTCACTGGTGAATATTTCCAAATGAGTGAGTGAGAATAAAGGGTTAACCTCACCAATGACTGGCACTGTCATACATGCTATGGGTATACAGATCTAATTGTGTGATAGATATATACATAATATGCATTTATTAAATGTTTGGGAACTTTTATTCAGATTTTGTTTGAAACTCCATTATACTGCTCACATTTTTGCTAATTTTAACCAATGAAAATAAATGGCTTTCTCTACTACTTTTAGATGGTCCTGTAGTCTATGCAGCATATTTAAAAATGGAGCACAGTGATGAGAATATCAAATTCTGGATGGCATGTGAAACCTATAAGAAAACTGCCTCACGGTGGAGCAGAATTTCTAGGGCAAAGAAGCTCTATAAGATCTACATCCAGCCACAGTCCCCTAGAGAGGTAATAACCATGGGAAATTAAAATCAGTACAACCTTTAGAGGGCACTAATATCTTTCAAGTATTCATATATGCAAGGCACTTTACATCTCAGTTCCTCCTAAAATGATATAAATTCAGTATTACTAACATTTAAGATAAGAAACTTGAGAATCTGAGAAGTTACTAACTCACCCAGTGTGGGCAGTAACATTAGGATTTAAAGTTAGGCTGCGTGGCTCCAACATCTTTCCTTATTAAATTATTTTAATTCTCAGTCCTAGGAAAGTTAAGAAGGTAAAAGGCAATACTTAGAAGAATTGTTCTTGCCAGCATGAAGCAGAAGTGCCATAAAAAGTCACGTGCACATCGCCAGTGGTGCTGGGCATCTGGGCCACCACAGCCTGGCCCAGAGATTTAGCTGCTCACCTTAGTAGAAAGTGAGCAAACATCCAGCTTTACTGCCAGTGATGTCCAACTACCTAAAGAAAACAGTCACAAGCAAAGGAGATTCAGCAAGACGGCCAGAAGAAAAAAAAGTGAAGAATGGAAATTCTGGTCAAGGGAGGAAAGATACAGGATGGCAAAAAAGATTTATAGCTCTAAACATAGTCAAATATTATTGACTTATTTCCCAAACTCTTACATGGAAATTTTTGCTTTACTAAAATAACCACTTCTCCTCTTTATTTCTTCGCTTCTCACTTTCTTTCCATTTCTGACCATATCTATATTTGTTACCATTAAGAAAGATAAATTTATAAATTAAACCAAGTTCCCTTTTTCTTAAAAAGAGAACTTCATTTCACAAACTTCCTTGTTTGCGGACTTCCACTAACAAACCACTTGTATCCACCTGAGTAAGCAATGGTTTCTGAGACTTCCCTGATCTAGGGCCTTGAGGTTTCTTTATTCCTTTAGGATGTGAAAGTGGTTACAGTATTCACATAAGAAAAAGGTTTATAAATTTTTGTAAGTAACTATGGAAACAGCACACAATTTTTCATATTTCAGTAAAGAGGAAGGGGAAAAATTAAGCTTTTCCATTATATGTGTCTATCTTCGATTATGTTTACTTATGTTCTACATGTAATTTCACTTTTCAGATTAACATTGACAGTTCTACAAGAGAAACTATCATCAAGAACATTCAAGAACCCACTCAAACATGTTTTGAAGAGGCTCAAAAAACAGTGTACATGCACATGGAAATGGATTCCTATCCCAGATTTCTGAAGTCAGAAATGTACCAGAAACTTTTGAAAACTATTCAGTCCAACAACTCCTGACTTAAATCTTTAAATTGAAGATGGTATCTTGCAAAGACTGACTTTGGTCTTTTAAATAAAAAACAAAGTCAAAAGTAAATTAGAAATTAAACAGAAATCAAGTTATAAATTAATTTCTACTTCTCAAAAAGACACAGATTCCAAAACGAACTCTAGAACTCTTATAAATGACACAAATATAGCATACCTATATAGCTCAGCTAACATATAAGTAAAAGGAAGACCTTTCTTCATGACACAAATATGCTTACTGTAATACTCACTTAAGAGTTGTTTTCTTATTAAATTTTGTTTTTATAGTGTGATGGCAAATTACTTCTTTAAGAAATTTATTTCTTTTAATCATGTCTCTAGCATAAATGTATTCACTGAGTGTTCTCAATAACTTGTATTGGTACACAAACTTCATACTTACAGTACAGAAAGTGTACTTATCATTAGAATATTAAAAAGGTATATTCTTCAGAGATAGTCATCTGTAAAATTTTCCTAATATGTTCATAATTGAACTTCTATATCATATATATTTTCTACATGTAAAAAGTTTGTGATAATTCTAAGCTCTTAAAAATGTGGAGGGTTTTTCATTTACTGCTGCATTTACATTGCTATAGTTTTAGACCATTTAATTCCTATATTTTGAGATTTTTTTCTCGTAATATGAATATATCATGGCTTTGGTAATCAATAAATCTAAAAATGAGCTTATAAGTTATTAATATATGTACTTTTCAATGATAGAGTAAAAATACTATTCTACACAAATTTCTAACAGCCTAAAGTAAATACAAAAATGAGAATTCATATTTTTGATTTCTTTAGTTCTACTGGAAAGGCAGGCAATGTAACACATTCTCTGTTGTTAATTTACTGTCACTGTAAAACACCATGAAAGAGTCTGGATTCAACAAGGACATTCAGAAGCTCAACATAATACCAGTGCAAAAGTTAATCTGCTATCTTTACTACTTAATTTTTTTAAAAAGCTCCAAGCCTTTATTCCTGAAAAAGGAGAAAAATAATTAAAAAATTGTTTTCCTCTGAGGAATTATTTTTAACTACTCGTGTTTGGTCTTGGTTTTTAAAAGTAGTTTAAAATAGGTTTGACACTTACACTGAAGCAAAGCTCTTCCTTTCTTTTAGTGATTTACTAATTCTCATACCACTTTATTCCTTCAGCTATTACATTTTATTGTACTTAAAAGAATAGATTTTGCCAGTCAGATGCCTCCATGGTTCACAAGATCCCAGGAATTTTGTTTGTAGTGTTTTCCACTTTTAAAAGGACCAACATGAGTAACTGCATAAACTATAACATATCAGGTGCTACGAAGGGGAAAGTCACTAAACCACCCTGCCACCAGTTCTGAAACAAAGGAGTCTTACCAAAAAAGTAAATGAATAATACAACAACATCACTGATATAGCAGAAACAAAAACAAAAACATTTTGATTTCACACAATAGAAAATATTAATTCACTGTTAACAATCTTGAATTTTAGTTCTGCATATTCCAAGTAAAATATACAAATTATCGAGCTCTGAATAAACTACAGAAAATTATAATAATTTGTTAGTCGCTCTGCTCTTCAGTTTCCTCATATTTAAAATGAGGTGATGAGAATAGATAATACATGCCTTCCTTTCAGTACTTTTAATTAACATTTCCACAATATTCTACTGCCTGTCTTCTGACTTTGTACATTTAATATTATTACCTGTCTTCAAAACTGAACTTCTGAGACTCTTCTAAGATCATACATACTTAGATGTTTGTAAATCATGAAAGGCCCTGCATTACTCTCATTCCCCAGTAACCTGTCCCCAGGCTCCCCACACCATTCACTGGTGAAATCTGTATTCGAGCTTCAAGAAAAACTCTCCAGGATTATGGAAAACAATATACAGTTTGCTGAAAAAATTAAAAAAGAGCCATCATATGCTCTATCAGTCCCACATCTAGGCTATCTATTCAGAGACTGGAAACGGAGTTTCAAAGAGACACCTACACTCTTCCTTCTTCTCAAAACAGGAAAACAATCTAAAGGTCCTTCAAATGAGTAGATAAAAAGGTGTGAGGTATATACACACACACACAGACACACACACACATATACACAAATACAGGTTGAGAGTTCCTTATTCAAAATTCTTGGAGTCAGAAGTGTTGCAGATTGCAGATTTTTTTTAAATTTTGGAATATTTGCATACACATAATGAGATATCTTGGGTATAAAATCCAATTTGAAACATGAAATTCACTTGATTCATATATACCTGACATTTATAATCTGAAGGTAATTTATACAATATTTTTAATGTGCCTAAATTTTGAAATTTGCTTATGGCCTCTCATGTTAGGTTAAGTGTGAAATTTTCTGCTTGTGGCATCATATTGATATTCAAAAAGTTTCAGATTTTGAAGCATTCCAGATTGGTTTTTTCAATTACAGATCCTCAACCTGTATTATTTGGTCTTAGATCTTAGAACAGGGCAGGGATGTAACTCAGTGGCACCACACCTGCCTGGCAAACGCAAGACAATAAGTTTAATCCCCAGTACTAAAAAAAAAGAAGGTCCTTATAGCAAAGGGTAATATTGTACATTGTATTAGAGGTCAGACAGAAACAGTAGAATGTAAATTTCTTGAGAGAGAAGCCATGATTTAGGTGTATTATACTAAAAAATGAAAGAAAACAAAAGATAAAAGAATGAGTCAATAAATGAAACACTCTATTTAGTCACCAAAGAGAAATGAATGAATCTAATGTCAAATTTTCTTTATACCATAACTTAATAATTTAAAACCAATTCCTGAAGTGAAAAGAAAATACAATTTAAAAGGCAATTTTTACTTTGTGAAAAATATGTGATTTCAGACCTACCATGTGCATAAAATTAAACTATTATGTCCTGAGCTTGAATAATTAAGCAAATCCTCTATTCAATGCATAAAGGACTAGACAAATAGAAGTGCAGTTCTATTAAATATTGATAACATGGGAAAGAGTGAGGCAATGCAAGCCAGCTAAAGACAAGAAAATGTGTATTATATGTGTTTAGCTGACTGAAGGGAGAGCAGCTTTTAAAGCAATGCTCAATCATTCTATCAATAAAACAATGATTACCCTGGTAAACTGTTTATATTATTAATACATATTAAATTTTCTCTTAATTTTTTAAAATTTATAATTCACTTTTTAATTTAAAAAAAAGTATCTGGGCCTTGTTATCAATGTCAGAATGAATGTGTGTAAGTTGATTTTTCAAAATAATTTGTAAAACTGAGCTTCTAAATGTTCAATTAGCTTTTACTGAGCATTTATATCAACTGGAGAAAGACTACTTTTGGCTTTCGTGTCATAGCAGCTTCCCAGCATTTGTCAGCCTATTCCAGAGAAAATAATTCATGTCTGTTTTAGTTGCCTTGTTCAGCAACCAACACAGGATAAACCTCTATCCAAATGGGTATACGTGTGCTCACTTCGGCAGCACATATACCAAATGGGTATGTGTCCCATGCTTTTGATGAAAAACAGAGCACAGTGGACCCCCAAGTTACAACTGGCCTGACATACGAACAACTAGGGTTAATTAGGTTAATGGAAGAGTCATCTGCCTCTTGTTATCTATAGTGTGTACCCAAGTAATACAGATCTCTGCTGTATTGACTTACAACCAACGCTGAGTTACAACTAGCCCTCGGGAACTGATCAGTTCTTAAGTCAAGGGTCCACTATAACTGAAATATTTAATATTGTTTTTGAAGAAACATTTTCTTGAATGAATTTTGTTCTCAAGATATTTAATTTTACAATGAAATTGTTTCTTCAGTCTCTTAATTTGAATTTTGTTTCTTCAGTAGCTAATTTGAAAATTCTTGAATGAATTTTGTTCCCAACATATTTAATTTTACTATGAAATTATTTCTTCAGTCTCTAATTTGACTTAGATAGCATATTTAAAGTGCATATAACCTCCACCGCCTGCCTTGAAAGCACAAGGACCCAAGTTCGATCTCTGGTACAAAAGCAAAAAAAAATTATATATAACGTCATGCTGCATAACACAAAAATGAATGTTAACTTGTAGTCTTCTCATTAAAAAGCAAAGTATCATTAAAACACAAAATAAACATCTGAAGAGCACCTTTCTAAGAAAGAGAAATAGCTGCAGTAGAGAATACTTTCCAGGAACCAGGGATTTAGCTCAATGGTGCTTGCCTCAAAAGGGCATGGCCCTGAATTGCATCCCCCCGATCCTGGGGCGGGGGGATACTTTCCTAAAAACATAAAATGCCTGATTATGATGGACTTTAGTTGTGTAACATTTAATCTCAGTAGTCTGACCTTATCTAAACCATTGGATTTTATTTTCTCTTAATAATACCACTATAAAATATAGATTGAGTTTCAGAGATCTGAACTTGATCTCTATTTACTATAAATAATAAAAAAGTTATTGCATATTTAAAATGGTCTTATCTTCTTACTCCATCAACGAATGAGTACATATATAGGCAAGTAGGAAATGTTAAATATAAATGGTTATAATACATGTTTTGAGAAGTTTCAAAATACCTTGGGCCTGTCTCATTCAATTTATACAAATTCAGCTACATTCTGACATTTGTAAATGGAATCAGAATAATTAGCAGTGTTTCCTACACGTACCTATGTCTCTCCTTGAATGGATATTTATACTCCCAAAATGAGTAAGCCCAGCATCTTCAGTTTCACTTACATTCATTTTTTTTCCAAAATACAGTCTTCGCTTGGTTCTGTCAGCACCTTCACATCATGTAGTATAAATAAAGTACCATACGCTGCCATAAAACAAAAAGTTCTGGACTAAAGGACAAAGCAATTGGGTTAAAGCCTCATCTTTCACCTGATAGTCTTAAAACTTTTGTATCAGCAATGTCAGTTTCTCACCTTGAAATAAAATATCGAATAAGCCAAATACTCTGCATGTTTTATGACATCCCATTACTAGTTT